ATTTTTGTTGCTGTAAGTGCCACCTTGGTTGTAGGTAGTTTTCTTTTGGCAATCTGTGGCCACTGTGGGATAGATAAGTACAATACATTGCTGGAGCCATCTGACATTTTGTCTTAATTCTAAAGGCAGCCCCCCCAAAAAAATCTCGTCTCTGCAGTTTTCCAATCCTGATTTCCCCTCCTACAGCCAGCCTGCTCTAGCCATGCTTGTCTCTTCCCTTACCCATCCACTGACCTGTGGGAAGCCTCCTCCCAGGCTTATTTCTGCCCCACTGCTCGTCTCTCAAAATGTCTTCCTCTAGCCATAGTCCTCAGACCAAGAGTGACCTATGGCATATGTCTTTATAGAAAGGTGCCAGCACTGCCACAGCAATTTACCCTGATTCATACCAGTTGAGAAGCTGGCTAATGAATTGGTGTTGTGCTTTCAAGAAATGCCATAATCCCATAACACAGAGATTTGCCTTTTCTTGCAGTGTGAGGGTGGCTGTAGCTTGTTTCAAAGGTGCACTGCTCAGGTGCACAGAGCTTCCAGGTGCCCCTTGTTCCAGCAGAAGATACTAGTGGGGGAGTGTTAGAAATTGCGCATTTCCTTAAGCAGGAGAAAGTGCAGTGCTGCAGGAGTAGGAGGTTACATATGCGCTTCTGTGGAAAATGTATCTGTTGGTACAATACAGCAAACCAGAAGCATTTATAACCCTGGACATGCTGTATGGGGTCTGGTCTTGATTGGAGACTGGAATCTTACTCAGTACTCAGCATGGGCAATTCAGGAGCTGACCTTTTTTTCTGGTCTCTTTTGGGCTCTTTTTTGTCTCCTCTGCGGTGCTGTGTTCTTGTGCACACATTTACACACACAGCAACTACAGGGAAGGTGTTCAGCATAATATCAGTGCATGTGCGCACCCATTATTAACTTTCATGCTGTAAAAGAGTTACAGAAGGCAGTTTACAAGAGATTTCCAATTCAGGTTAACTATTAAAATATAAGTTTAATTACATACATTATTTACTTAAGCCTTGATGGAGGCTAGTCACAGGCACAAGTAAAGGTGATCCACCCACCGCAAGCATCTTGCAGGACTTCTGTGTGTAAGCAGCAGCTCAGATTTTCTTTACGCCAAAAGGTTGTACCGTTCTGACTAAACCCTTTCAAACAATCACTCATTATAGAAACCATAGCATTACTTTGATTTAAGCAAGGGTTGAGTTTGGTTTTTTCATTAGCTTAAGGTAACTAATAAACTAGCTTTTTATTACCCTGACACCAGCTTATGCCTCTGATAGCATCCTGGTTATTCCGACTCTTCTTTATTGCCTCTTGAGCAAGTGCGGAGGGCCAGATCGCGGTGGCATTCCCGTGTCACCTGCAGCCTGGGACTGCATGCCTGCACCCTGCATGCAAGCGCTGCTGTCTGCGATAGGAGGGAAAGGCAGCTGGTCAACGCAGCAGGGCCAAGACTTGTTTTCTAGACAAGGCAGTTGTCCCTCACTACAAGGAAGATTCCAGGCAGATTAAAAGATCACCACGAGGATGTTTTATGTAGGTGCAGTTCTACTACATGGGCAATAACTTAAATGCTCACAACCTATCCCCCTAAGTTCTTGTTAAAAAAGCTTGCTCTCTCTTATTTCTTTGAGGAATAATAATAGACCGGTTAAGCTGGAAAGAGAAAACCTCCCCCTCGTTTAGAAAGGAGTGCCAGAGAGAAGGAGAGAGAGTGCACTGGCTTCTAGGAGAGATATTTAGTCATTCTTCTCTGCAGACGGCTGGCAGGGAACATTGCAAAGTTCATTTCCGAATCAGAAGAGCGTGTAAAGACTGCTTGTTTTATTCACTACATTAATCGTACTTCACATATTACTCATAATATTAAAATACCCGTCGCTTCACTGTATAGCAGAGACATTTAGCTGCCAATTTTCAAATAATCGTAAATTGAGTGTGTCTGTCTGAGCCAGCCAAAATAAGCTGGGTTAGATCATGAGCGTATGTCTGTGCACGTGGGTGTAGGGGAGAAAGAGGGACCAACATGGTGGGGGGGAGCGCTTAACGCCTTGGAAATGTCCTCGAAGGAGCAAAAGAGAGAAGAGGATAATGTTTCCTATTTTGATGTGCTTGTGCGTTTCTCCACAGCGGGTCATATCCTTCACCTGCCACTTCTAATTTCCTTTTTCCACAGATGAACGCGGCTGAGCTTTTCTAGCAGTGCATGTCTTCGCTGTTCAGCGTTGTTGTGTGCCTGCATTTTGAATCTCTCAGTGAATAGTGGCAGTTTTACCTTCCAGCTCAGTCCTCTGCTCCCGGCAAGCACTGAAAGGGGTTGTCTTACCAGGGACCTGGGGAGGTTTAACGTGGGCGCCTGAGGTCCCCACACACACTCCACTGCCGCCTGGCGTAGCGCCTGCAATGAGATCCCTGTGCAGTGGGAGCAGCCGTGTGTGGCTGGATCTGGCCCTGAGCCAACCAAGCTTGTCCACCAGTAGGAAACAGGCTTTCTCCCGCTGGAGACTTTATGAACAGATACCGTCTTTAGCTCTTCTTCACAATACAGGGCAATCCCAAATTCTGGCACCTCCAGGATGGGCAAATCTGGTCCTCATTTTGCTTTCCAGAGCTCTGAAGCTGGTTGCTGCTCCGTTGCATGAGACTCCAGCGCAGTGTGAGCAGAGGGAGGTCAGCTGCAAAGCTCTGAAAAATTATGTTGCAGGGTCACCGGTAAAACCAGATCCCCAGGAGGGATCTGCATGCTGTAGCTTCTGATCCTCGGAAGATCTTTTCAGTAGATACTCTAGGGGTATCTACTTTATTTAAGTAGATTTAAGTAGATCAATTTACTTGATTTAAGTTGGTGACCCCCAAATACACCTCCTGAGCACTCTGTGGCTGGTTGTTACTGTTCCTTGCTCCTGCTGAGTACAGGCTGGGAGGTGGTATGCAGAATGAGAGCCACCCAGGGAGATAGTGCAGAGCAGGAAGACTTCTGCCCTGTGGTTTTTTTTAATAAGCCTTAAGATGTCATCTCCCTTTCTCAGGTGCAACATTGAATAGGAGGAGGCACACGCCAAAATCTGTATTTTCCCTTTGCGATCAGGAGGATTGTGGGAGAAGAAGAAAAAAGCAGTGACAATAATGGCATGTAATACTGCTACTGATAATTACACTCATTGCTTTTGTTATGATTTTCACAAATATATCTTAAAACACCCTTTAGTGGTCAGTGTCATTATCTTTATTTTACACGTGGGGTAACTGAGGCAGACAGAAGCGAAATAACTTGCAGTCACTGCCAGTGGTGGGAATGGTCGTTTCAGTAAAAGCAGTCGTATTAGAAACCAAGTAGCAGTAGTATGAGCAATGGAGCTGATAAAGGTTGCTTTCTTGTGTGTTAGTGTCAGGAAGCTAAAGCATCTGTGTGCATGTTGAATAAAAGGCTGATCTCACCCTGCAGTATGTTCTTGGTCACTAAAAGATGCTCCTTCTACCCCAACTGAAACCTAGAAGACCTTAATGTTTTGGGGACTTCTGCTCCATAGTTAAATGTAGAAACTGCGAAGCGGTTCCAGGAGTGGAGGAGCGGGGATGAGCTGACAGGCGGAGGGACCACGTGAGTCTTCTTTCCTTTTGGAGTCAAAGCTGTGAGGCTATAAAAGGTGGCACTGGGTTGGGGAAGCAGAATGAGACTTCTACTCCCTTCTACTAATGCTGGAACAGGTTTGGTCTCACCTTTCACTGGCATTTCTTTACCTTTGTCCTCAGACCTAAGCTCAGTGATTTAGGCTGATGTGTCATCACGCTAATTGTGTTGGGTGTATTTCAGGAGCATTTCAGGGCTTCATCTTGAAGCATATACTCAATTCAGTAATCCTTCGAGGTGCAGTCTTGTTAAGTTCATGGGACCAGTAAGCATCCCTGCTAAGCATGTGGATTGCCAGGTACCTGCAGTACCTGGCAGGTTTTTGCCATTCAGCGTCCTAGAATTTATGGGGCTGCTGGCTATACACCCCAGGGAGACGGGCAGCGTTGGGTATGTGACTTTCTGTTGAGCTAGAGAATTTTGTGGTTTGCATCTGATTGCAGCAGAAAGTCACCACCTCTAAGCAACATCTGCTTGCAGAACAGTTACAAATGGCATTGAAAATGAAAAGGGAACATTTTTGTAGGACAGATGGTTTTGCCTATGCCTAGCATCTCACTGCCTCTCTCGCTGTCCGCCTTAAAAACTCTAGACCTGTTGTTCTTTCAGCGCAGCCTTGGTTTTCCTTTAGCTGGAGCAAGAGCGTAAATCTTTGAGAAATGAGTAAGTGGTAATAGGAAACAGTCTTTGTAACCAATTGCCCCTTTTCTATTGTTTCATTTTTGAAAATGAATGAGAGATTGGTTAAATTGACTTAAAATTCCTAATTGCTCAGTGCTTCTTTTATGTTTTTTTTTAAAGAAGTAACCATTCTTGAGATTCCATTCCAGTAGAGGGATGCTATATTTGTGGGTTAAACTTCAGGTATAGTGTCCAGCCTGGATAAATGCTGACTTGTTGATAAAGAAATCAAGTAACCATAGCTCAGACAAACATATGCCAACAATGCCGGGAATATCGTCACTGATCTCATAGTGAAGCTGTTAATTGTCTCTGTGGTGAGCCACAGAGACAAAAACATACTAAAAAAGACTTCAAATATACTTAATATATGAATATATTAAAAGTTAATATACGTAAAGTACCTAAAATATATAAGCCTAAGTTTTCTGAAATTACTGATTTCAGATGTGCGACTGTTGAAATTACCAAGTTGGAACAAATCAAAAAGAACTGATTTTCAAAGACGTCCTATTTTCTAGGCAATAATTCCCTTTAAGGCATCTGGGATGGGGTACCAGAAGTCATCTATGACTTTTAAAAAGGCCCTGCAGTGTCTAGGCAGAGATGTTAGGCTTATTGTGGAAGTGATGCCCTTCTAAAATGTGATCGGGTGCTAATGACTCCCAATGTCCTCTTTCAGTATCCACAATGGAGTAATAGCGGTGTTCCAGCGTAAGGGTCTCCCGGACCATGAACTTTACAACCTCAATGAAGGAGTCAGGTAAGAGACTCGACTCTATGCAAGGTGTTATTAGCCAGCGTGCACAGTACTGTTTGCTAGCACTCGCACTTGAAAGCTGCTACAGCAGTATTACAGGGTTTTTTTCCCAGTGGTAGTTTCAACCAATACAGTCAATTTGGCCTCAGTGAACAGCTGTTGCCGATGTGTAGCGAGAGCTGTGTTCCTCCTTCTGCAGAGGAGGTATTTAGCTGTGAGGAGGATGGATTATTTCAGAGTCTGTCCTGACGTACTGGATTGAAACTAAGGAGGGGAAAACCTGGACCCCTCTAGTAATGCAGCCCTGTACCACTGCAATGATGCTGCCCTTTCCATAGGTGCCGGGCCTAGCTCTGAGGTGCTTCCCTTGCATCTCGCGGAGGATGTAAAGCCTCCAAGCGCTCAGTGCGACACGGCAAGGAAAGGTGGCCTGCCTGGTGGTCCCTTACATCTAGCTGCTCCTTCCATTGCAGGCTGAATATGCTGTACATGTTAACAAAGCTGTCTTGTCAGCACAGTGACCTGAGTGACACAGTTTTAAGGTTCCTGTTTCTTTCTCATACTGTGATGATACTGTTTGCCACAGACTAAATACAGACCAGTGAGATTTATAATGGGAACTTTTTTCCCTGAAAAAAAAAAAAAAAAAAAAAGAGAAGGTGAAAATCCTACCATTCGAGTTAAGTTACAGCTGCAAAGAAAAGTTTGCCAAGAGATAAGCTGATATCTGGATTTACAGCACTTCACATTTTACTACTTTTTCTAGCACTTACTATTACTTACTAAACCCTCTCTTACTGACAAGGGCAAGGTAGCAGATTTCCTCTTAGAAATTTGTCCCAAGGCTTTGAAGAATAAACAGTGGAAAAGAAGCTGCACTAACAAAAGACAGACAGCTTATTACATTCTCTGGCTGTCTTCAGATAAGA